CCATTCGCAGGTAACCTTGAGCACGTCAACGCGTTGATGACAATCGTCAATTGCCTAAGTTGATGACAGAAACTGCCCACAATGACGATTTACGGCAGAGCGATACTCAGTGTAAATTGTGAAATACGACACGAATAAACGTGAATGTACATGGACAAGATGTACTAACACGGCTGTAACTCTTAGCACTAGCATCGTCGTACGAATGGGTGTGTTTGTTGATGCCAGCGATAAATCCGAATGGGTGTTTACTTAGAGGGGAGATGGAGTGAGCAATGAAGTGTCGGAGCTCAACTACTCAGAAGGCATGCGTGGGCAAAAACAGTGAAGGCACTGACTAACTAACCAAAATACTGGCTGACACTCATCAAACTGTCAACAATGCCCAAAACGAAACGTACTCGTACTCTAACGCAAACTACAACATCGTATTTATATTGTGCGTCGCATCTAATTCTTGATTCTCTTCGTTCTGGGTTCTGGAGACGCTTACACCGCCATCCGTGCTTTTCGTTGGTTAACATACTCGCTGGCAGCCAACATCGGCTAAGGCCACAAGTTCTTAGGCGTTTAAAGTGCACTGAAATGTCTGTATTAGGATCTGCCACAATCGACACGTCTCATAATCATTTGACGTATTCGACTGTGTAATAGGTGGGTGAGTTTCGCAGGTCGCTCATTGTTAGGGGTCACTAAACAATGTGTCTCTTAAATTAGCAGCCGTGTGTCGATGGTGCAAATATTTGTGATTGACAATTTTCGCACGATTATTTCAAGCAAATGCGGACTGTATGGTGTCAACTGCAGCGCGTTCTCCTAACGCAGTCGTCGAGTATTCCAATGATCGACGTGCGTGTGTGTGTGTGTGAGTGTGTAATGAACGATTCTGGTGTGGCTCCGTGCCCAACGCGCATTGGTGAAGCTCATTGGAAACAAGCATGTACTTCCACGTGAAAAGCGGGTTGTAAGCACATCAGTTAAAACGTCTTAAACCTCGTTGAAGCGACTAAGTCGTCGACAATGGGTAATTTCGCACCCTACTCACCCAGCTTCTTGTCACGCTACCTTAAGATATTCCCTCTCAAACCGGCTAACTTTATATCAACTGAAGAATCCTTATGAACAGCTGACTGCAAATTAGGTTGCACATCACCATCCCAACACCTTCTTAACTACAAGGTGTTTTGTGCTCGTTTTTTCAATGAAAAATCTTGACGGGAAATTTTTATTGTGAGAAGAGCAAGCATTGAATTGGAGGTGCGTAACGTAATCTGTAATATATATATTTCGATTTATAAAGAGAGACTGATCTACCCTGCCGCAGCCAAAATTGCGTCAACGATAAGGCGAAACTTCAGCTGGATGCAGGCCTTCTTTAAAAATGATGACGTGCAGATTGTGCCATGATAAACGAATCTTGTGGAATGTGGAAATCGTGGGTGCTGCCAATTCCCAGTTGAGGAAGCACCGTGAGGCAGAAATGACTCATTTTGCTTTCAGTTTATTATTCTGGCCACTACATTTTGATGCTATTTCGTCTGCTTTCATGATGTTACTTTCATTGACTGCCTCTGGTGTGACGAGAAATGCCTGTATTCATTTCTCACATAGTCGAAGCACAGAACAGTCGGTACTACGTGTATTTTGCGCATGTCGCTATTCTCAGCAAGTTGCAGACAAGAGGGCTTAATATTCTGTATTCTAAAACCGCAATAATTTTGCATAAAGAACAAAGCGGTGTTAAAGGCAAATGGATGCGCCACATCGACGGATTTTAAGTCAATGTGGCCCCTCGGATTATGGCCTCGGATACACGGCGCATTTATGGGAAATAAAGGCGATGGTGTACCTGCAAATCCACTTAATGCCGCCACGAAGAACCAGTTAATGTTGCGATTTGTATTCAGCGTGAGTTGACCTCTAAGCCAAGGCTTATTTGCACCCTATCTTAAGCGTGTGTTTATAGAGTTTGGTGAGTTTCTCAGGTCGTTCCTTGTTAGAAGTGGCTAATCTGGAGGTGATGAATTAGCGACAGCGCCTACGAGGTGCAGATGTTTGTGAGGTGACAAATCGGGCTCAAGTGTCTCTGTGGGTGTGAGATCGCAGTTTTGCGCTGCAGCCCTCTTCCTGCCTCCTCATTGGCTCACGCATGAGTTGCGATAGCTAACCAGGTATAAATTGAAGCAAAATTCCATGATTTCATGTAGATTAACAAACCTCTCTGCGGCGTTGGTGATTGCGACTGAAGCCATGGACCACAATTTATCGCAACAGTCTTCGAGACATGGGTGCTTGCCAAGAGTTCCAGCCCACACCATCTACCGTGTCATAGGGGATTTCGAATGGCAACCACCACTTGACCTCACTACATTTTGCACCTCTATTCTTTGTTGATTTTAGCACAAATTGAGGGTTTGTCTCCTCAATTTCTAATTCCCAATAGAATTGGTGCATTAAACCATGGACCTGATTCATTCTTTTCATCCGTTCCAATTGACTATTTTTGCACTAAGTACTCCCCATTTTGAGTCATCAGTTGTTGACTGTTCGCCTCCGCCAAACTGCCAATCAGCACACGATTATCTACTCGCAAGTGTCCACTTAGGCTGACATCGATTATAGTTGCTCACATCAGCTTCCTTCGAATTTACTGGTAGGGAAATTAGCTACACGATTACTTTGGCTGTCCGGTAAATTTTGCAGACATACAAGTGTTTTCAGAAGGCCGGTTTTTCCGTCACCTTCGCAAAATTCTGCTAGGTGCTGACTTGAGTTTAAGTAACAGACAAGACGTACGAAAAGGGGTTGATTAAACTCTCAGAAGTTGGTGTGAAAGGTCAGGAATGCAGGACATTTGATAGGTCAGATAATGCCCTGTATACTTCACAGACCTATTCCCGTGTCAAACTATGCCTTGACTCAAAAATAAAGTTTACACAAAGACACTACAAACTGGACAAGTAGTATGTGGTTGCATGGCTACAAGCCATTTAGTAGCAAACACCAAACAAATGAATCAGTTTGATTTAATCTGCAATTATTGTATTTTTTTAATATCTTAAAAACAAAGCTTAGAGTAATGTATTCTCATGGTATTAGCTCACTTCAGAGTACAGGCAATGGTTGGACAAAACACGCGTGCTAGTCACCAAAATAATACATAATGACGCAAAAATTGGGGTTAGTTGTCATTAATTTTCGGTAAAGGTAGGAGGGTGCAATAATAAAAAAAATCGGCTACACTCGATTCATGCACCCGTACGTAGACAATTTTTTAATTCCATTATATCCACAGAGCCAAGCGGAATGTTGAAAGAAAAGAAGTATAATAAATGAAAAAAAAGGTTTTGAGGTCAATTTGCTAATCGTTTATCCACAGGAAAGTGGGAAAGGCTTCTTAGTAATGGTAAAAAGCAGTTAAGGACGTCTTAAATGGGGAATCAAAATTAAAATTAGATGGCTGTGAATGAGGACATGATTTAATAGTTTAAAGGGCTCAACCGATTTCAACGCTCTAAACGGTACACCTAAGCAAAGATGTTTAAACTACGTGGCTGAAGGTTGTGTTAAAATACATGTCTCATGCGACATGCAACTAATGATGAAACCCAAAGCCAATTAATTAATTTAATAAATCTCCCCACGGGATTGATGAACACCGGGGACTTCAACCGGAGGTATATTATCTGCAATCAAACACATCTATTTAAAAATCTTGATAAAAAGTGCACGTACATATACGAGGACGAAAGTTTGGTTGAGCAAATAACTGACTGGTGTGCAATTAGATTGCAAATACTATGACTTATGCACCATGCGGAGGATTATCTGAGAGGAAGGAGCGTGGGATTGGGTAATGGCATGGAACAGAAAGCTAATATTTTTAATTATTGGATAAACTTGTTTCAACAAACTTCCACACATACATCTGAACTAAAGTCAGCAAACAATATGTGTTTGTAAGGCAGATAGATTTACTAACTCAAAGAAATCATTTATAAAGAGGTGGGCAAAAATACTATTACAAAAAAATTTTTAATAGGATTTTCATATTTTTATTAGCAGATACATCAAAATTAAAACTCTGCAAGTGTTTTTAGTGGCTCTGTCATCAAAAAAATAGTCAGTGATAATATTCCGTTTAAGGGTAATTCCTGGCTTCATAATTTCAATTAATGTATATGGGAAACGGTGCAGGATTTACCCGAAATTTCTCAAATTTGCAATATAATTCTGTATTTTAAAAAAATGAAAACCAAATTATATATTCTTTTATAAAGTGCAACGCTAAAAAGAGAGTTTGCTTGTAGACAAAGCAAACGTTACGCAATTTTTCTACTATGAAGTATCTGCCAAAGTTTCAGCGTACTCTGGGCTCCCCGCACGCAGAATCCTTCATACAAATGGCACAAAAGAAACTCGTAATTGCCCATGTTATAAAGAAATTCTTTATCATTTATCAAGTCACAAAATATTTATCTCAGAAATTTGTTTAATTAAATCAACATTTTTGTCAGAATCATTCACCAAAGAAGCCGCTTAAGACAGTCCCCCAAAGGTTTATCATCGAATCTGCGCTTTCTCTAGTTGAATCCCGATTATACTTTTAAGTAGGTTTACACCAGCTTTTCTATAGTGAAATATGCAAATGATTGAGTATGACAAGTGCATATTCTTTCTCCTACATTCTCTAGTCCTGTAATTTCTGTTTATTTTTCAAATTACTTTTAAATATTTACGTCAGACAGCTGCGGTAGTTTTGTCCACCTGTTAATGGCTACAGTTTATTAATCTTGCACTGGCACTTTGGTGATTTATGTATTTAAGGCATATCTGACCAAGCACGATCATGCATCATTCTTCATACGATCCTTTCAAGCATGGTCTCATTGTCCAGTCTTATTTTCCAAAGTAAGGAAATCAAATACTACTGTGGCCAAATTCGCTAAGCACACAGCATGAAGAAGGTGCGGTTTCAAAATCGCTTTCGGCTGTACTATTACCTCATTTACGTGGTCTAATATATTTTTTCCGCAACATTTATAACCTGCCCAATGTACTTGACCTTCTGTGCCTCCGGATTTACTTTGTCGGTCAAAGCTGGTTTAAAATTGATTCCAGAGCAGAAATCGTCTAACTTAGTGCAAAATATATGTTGCAATTAAGTCGATGAGATCCTAATATGGGCAGGGCACGTAACTTCAACTCAGCTGCCATAACTATGAAGGTGTTTTCGACATTGTTTCTCCAGCACTAGTTTTTAATTTTTTTCTGATCTAATTTTGCAGCTAATATTGTCATAACTGTCATTGTTTACTCGAAACCTGTTCGGTTCCTCTGCTATCTCGAAGTTATGATATCAGTGTATTTTAATTACGCAGCACCTCGTTTTTTTAGCTTCTACCCTCTAATCTGCATATATACGCTGCTTAATGCGTGTTATCAGGCGTCTTTAACTTACCAGTGTCATGCATAAATTTCCTCCCGATATCATTTAATAATTTACACAGATAAGCCTCCAAATGTAAAAATTCAACTTACGTATTGTTTTCTGTATCACCAATCTCCTTACTGTGCTGTTCACCCAAAACTTGCACGTATTTTTAATCGTCCTTGTCAGTAATTGTTTTCCTCCCTTAGAGGGTTCCATTGCTGTTTTGTGTGGCCTTGTTACATCTTTCATTCGTGTTCATGCTTGAATTTAAAAAAAAATACAAATCCAATTCCCTGGTCAGTCTTTCTTGCATCAGAATCACCTGCCTCAGACTACTTCCGCCCGACTCATATTTGCCCATAATTTCTGCGACTTCCGTAGCATTCCCTCCTTCCGCCTCTAGCTGCGTACTGTCTCTCGTCTGACTAATTTGCATTCCTTTGTCTGCAAGCCGTCATGCATATAACCCGATTCTTTCTCTTCCTCCCTTATATCCAAACGTAATTTCGACACCTCTTTGCGCCGCTTTTTTCTGCTGCAAGGTAACTAAAACTTTGTAGTTATTTAGATTGACTTCCTTTTCATTTCTTCAATCACAAAATGCACCAACATTTATCAAGCATCTCACTCTCTGTCCCGCACAGCGCTCTATCAATGTGCCGTTTGCGTGGATAAGTTTGCGGTCCATTTAGTCGACGTTTTTTTCCTAAATACCGTGTCTGATTGTTCGCCCATCTTTTGTACTATCGGCGGGAGCTCAGCTGATTGCTACTTATAACCATCTCCCTATTGGTCATTCAAAGTCTTCAAGATTGTTGTTTGCACAGCATATAGCCTTGAGCATTGTTAATAAGATGCAAGTTTTGTAAAAAAAAACTGATGGCTTTCTAGTTTGTCGTATTAACTCTTGCGTTAAGAGCAACCGTGTTTTCCGCTAATTTTCTTCATTTTTAAGCGCGTTCGTCACGCATCAGAATCGTCTTCTGACCTACCTTGAGTGTTTTATTGCATTTGCCGGTTTAAGTAATCCGTGGAGAGGCCCGCACGTAGCCTTTCAGACTACCTAGGACCACGCCTTTGGTTCAAGCTTCGGTGAATATGCAAGCACATAGTCGTGTTGATGGGACATGTTTATAAACACAGTAAACATTTGACGTCACAACGCCCCTACCGTTCAGATTAGTAAGGAAAGATGAGGTGGAGGATGAGTCCTGCGGAATGTCCCCACCAAAGCACATTGGAGGAGACAGATGAGGTGTTTGTTGGTCTTTCTGCCTGCGATCAAGTCTCTGGACATTTTCGAAAATTGCGAAACATTTTCGACGTGTACCAACAATAGCGTAATTGTTCGCGGCTATTGCAGTCATGGCGTAATCGCAGGGCACAAGACGGTGTTTCACGTGGCCACTGAGAAAGTTGATATCGAACGAGACAGGAAACCAAGGCAGATTAGCCACTGCATTCGCAGAAGCACTGCGCGGGGCCACTGGGGCTTGATTTCCAGTTCCGTTGTTTCAGCACACTCCCCGAAATGCCGCTACAAGAATTATGTCCTTAGAAGGTTGTGATGTCCAGTGAAACAACTGCGTCAAGATATTCCCTCCGGAATCATCCCCTAGTGAATGTTGCACAAGTGTGATGGTCAAGCGATGTTCACCCACGCGAGAGTCCATCAGTAAGAAAGGGGAACGAAATCCTCAATTATTGCGATTTAAACGGAGGACTCCTGTGTACTTTGAGGCTATGTGGATTCATGCAGCTAGCTAGCTTCAATAAGCGATGTCGGTAAGTCCTCACCGAAACTGAGTCACTGTCGCCAAGAGAGGAAAGGTGAATGGAACGCCTGAAAGCGAGTGGTGCTGTAGGAACAATTGTGGCCGTATTTTGTCGGTTTAGCGGAAAACGGGTCGGGAACAGGGTTCACGCGTTGATGGTGCGTGCGACCTTGAACTGTGTCGCAGGGTACCGCTCTTGAGTACTTCTGTGGGAGGCAGTAACGCTGGTTTCTGTGACCTATTCAGACCAAGGACGATAAAAAAAACATCACTCGGGACGAAATTTGAGTCAATAAGAAAATAGGTGTGCTCATGCCCAGCTAAACGAGACTACGTGGTCGGGCAGCAAGATCGTGGTTTCGATTTAAAAAGTCGAGGAGTTCCACAAGACTTGCTGCAGGGAAAGTTGGCTGAACACTGCCTGTGCGCTTTGTAGGGAGATGGAGACCACTTCGGAGAAATCCAAGGCTGTTTTGGTGTCATTTTATCCGAAGTTAATTTCCGCCGAGTGGACAACATTCCCTTAATCTTGCTCTGATTTCTATCTAGCACTTCTTACGCCATCGTCGCACCCAATCTCTTTGGTGTTCAACTGCCTCTCTTTACCGCCTCTTAACCTGTTCTGTTGACTTCTACTCGACCCGTTTTTATTTCCCTGCTTGGGTTTTCGTTTTGCAGCATAATACACCCCGTGATTTGTGCTGCGCGCGCCACTCGTCGTCGTCGCGTGTGTGTGTGTGTGTGCGCTCTTGCGGATTTACGCACTGCTGCTCCCCCACGCACACCGTCCGATGCGACATCTTTGTAAATAAACCTGTCGCACTCTTGTAGCTTTTTAAATCACCGAAACTGTGCTTCTTGTCTCATAACTTCTTGCTGGTGAGTGTGTAGTAGCTTGATCTTAGCACTACCTTACAACCCTCTAATTAACAGCCCAAGACAACTCGAGTAGAATGGAGAAGACGGGCCTTCATGCACGCACACTCACGCGGGGCGGCTGTCAGTCCACTACAAGTGCTAAGTGTTTATAATGCCTCGCCGTGGCCAAACTTATCTTCTCTAAGCACACGAGAGTTGTAAAAAAAACTGTCAGGTCCTCCCACGGACTTGGACTTCGATGCCATCTGTCCATGCTTGAAAGTTCTTTGCGTTAACCTTTCAGACACCTGACAGGAGGTCGATAATGCACACCGTCTTCACGGACTGTCAGGTCGGTGGTGGGGGTGGTTGCGACGGCGGCGCCAGTGCCGGTGCGTCAGCGCTGAACGCCGGTGACGGCGGCGCAGTTTCACAGCCTTTAACACCCACAGAGGACATCCCCGCTTCGTTGCCTTCCAGCCTCTCCTTGCCTTCCACGTTTGCCCAACACGATGTTCCCTCCGAGGCCGCAGTTGCAGCCCCCTGCGCTACCACCTCCAATGGCGAAGCCGGTGCTGCTCCGCTTGAAGTGAACGTTCAACTCAACGTACGTTTTTTGATACGTCAACGGTATAGGAGTCGTGATCTGTCATCAACTAGGCCAATGCACCATTATTCCATCGACTACATTCCTTGAATAAGCACATCATAGCCTCGCAAGTACCAGACGCATGACTTAGTTTTAACAGATTTTTTTAGCAAATTTGTTTCATGTAAACAACGAAGGTACTCTTGAAAAAAATTTTTCGTCGTTTTCTACGACCTTGTGCTATCTCTCGGGTGACGTACAATGCCGTCGCGAAAGAAACTTGCAGGCTTCGTCGAGGCAGTAAAGTCATCATCGACGCACACCGTCCAGCGCTTTGAGCTGTTTATCCACTAAGGCGTGCTGCTGCCGCCGCCGCATTGACCGCAACAAGTGGTGGTGGGATGGGGCCAGGTCCGGTGAATATGCCCCGCGTGTCTGGTCACTAAGATCGAAATCGCTTCTTCTAAAACGTTTGTGCGAATAAATACACGTTTTTGTGACACAACGTCGCCATCAATAGCACTACAAATTGATTCCCGTGCTTAAGAAGAATTGTTTTATTCTTGGACTTCGTATAAAATGCAGCGCCATCGAATGTGCTGTTTATCAGTTGGCATTGTAGACTCCGCGACTGTGCGCGGTGATGTGGCTCACATAGATTTGTTTTTTTAGGTGTTCTGTAGCTCTGTATTCGTTCCTTTCAAAATCACAAAATCACAGCAAAAGTATTTCTGTACGATTTCTGTGCACATTAGGTCCTACACATAATATATTTCCATCAATGACCTAGGGCTCCCGGACGTTCCATAGCCGAGTTCAAGTCCGTGAGTTGGATTGAGTTGGAAGCTGTGTTGTCAAGACCCTCGCAGACCCGGCGCTTGACCTCCTGCACCCAGGAAACCCATCTAGCGTAGTCTGCAAAACAGGCACAAGGGTGGCATTAGTCACACCAGTGTGTGTGTGTGACTTATCCTTAAATTCGTTGACAAATCGCTCTCAAGCAACCAAGTGCGCGCTGTTTGGGTTTGAGTTAAGCCTCTTGACCAGTTGGAGCTTTTGATTGGTTACTCACCACCCCGATTGTTTTGGATTGCGCGAGCGGCTTGGTTGCTTGGACGTTTGTACTTTTATTGTAACTATTCATTTACAATTGTGTTTCCATGGTGTGTGTGCAAATTTTGACGCATTCACCGGCAGTTCACGTGACTTGGCCGTCCACCGTTCGCTACCTCACCCATCTCCTCTTCTTCTTCTTATCAAAAGATCTCAGACGCATTCGAACAGACCGATCCCGAGGTTGTTCGTTCCTCGTCCAGCCGCATCTTGCGGGCATTCATCGTCATCAGCTTGGACAAGGCGGCCGAGTCGTCGGAGGATGTGCACATCTCGGCCCACGCCAGCGTTCGCGCAGAGGCCTCTGTGAGCAGCGTCAATGGGGCTTGTGGGGACACCTCGTCTTCGGACGAGGATCGCGACTCGGGAACTCTGTCTCCGGTACCGTTGAATCAGGCGCAAACACGCCAGCTTCGAGAATCCGCTTTCGGGAACCTTAATGAGTAGGTCAATCGAGTGCCACTCAGTGGACGAGTTGGCAGCACGCGGAACGCCTCAATTGTTGTCCATTTAATACACACACACAGTGCAAGTTGACTAATGTTTCTACCCCACCTTTTGACATCTTTTAGTGTGGAGAGGCAAATCGCTTCACGATTGGCCGAACTTGGCGACCTTGTGCAGAACCAATGCGGTGCCGAAATTGAGCAGCTAATCGATCAGCTCGGAAATATCGAGTCGTTCAATAGTGTCTTAGGTAGAATCGCAAAAATGTAAGTTCGTATCCAATGATGCCTGGAACTAATGTCTACAGCCTGACTGCTTGTTGTTTTTGTGATAGCATGTTGGCAGATACCCCAACCGCAAAGACTCACGTTACGCCAGATTGTCTTTCCATGCCTGTTGAAGTAACTTCAAAGAAAGTGGATTTATTGTAATAAAATAATATTGTCATTCCCGTAGTATGGTGGAGAAGGAGGCGTAAAGGAAAGCACTTAGCGAACATTTTTAGTTGCTCTAAAATCCAAAATCCTGAATTGGTCAGGTTGTCTAAATTGTACTACTGTCTTGAAGCATCAACGCACACGGACAAATGTACAAACAGTGACTTAGTTCCGTGTTCCGGGACTGATTTTAAGATCACTAAGCACAACCTCTTCGGTATACGAACTCTCACTCTAGAAGTAAACTAACCACATCAACGATTTTCCGTGCTTTCTACCTGGCAACTGTTGTGGTTTTCGGAGTGCACTAGGGTTCCCAATACCTCGCGTTCGTCGACCAGCTGTTAATCAGGTGATCGACTGATACGGCCCTCCTTTGCCTTACCTTGTGTGGTCGACTGAACTCCTTCTGACACCGACTGTCGATTGTTGTAGGGTGTTTACAAACAACAGCATAAACTGGGGACGCATTGTCGTGCTCTTCTACTTTGGATTCCGAATTTTCCTGCGCTACGTGGGCCAAGGTGTTCGTGAGGCCATAATCGCCGTTTTCAATAAAGTCGTCGCTGCTCTCAACGAGATTTGTTCCGCTCGCATTTTCCGATGGATCGCCAACCACGGGGGCTGGGTACGTTCTCGAGGCGTCTTTATCTTTGCTTGCCTAAAGCCCCTTCAGTTACGATGGCTCTGCCTGCTTCCAGCTTCGTGTCACGGAGATGCGGAGACGTTCACGCACAACCGTCGCCACCTCCACCTCCACTGACCTCATTTCATCGTCGTCGTCGTCCCTGCTCGGCATTTTCTCCAGTCTGTCTCTAGTGGAGCAAACGACTGTGGTCGCGGCGATCGTGGTTGTCATCGCATTCTTTCGGTACAGGCAGCTGCAATAACTTTCGCACCGGTGACAGATGTGTTTTGTCGCGGTTTATTTTGTTTCACTGTGACCCCTTTCCGCCACCGCCGCCGCCACCGCCGCCGCCACCGCCGCCTTTCTACTCCTCCCTTTTGCAGCCATCTTGAAGTCTTATATCACCGTCCAATTTTGATTAATAGTACGCAATTTTAAACATTTTTACCCAGTTCCGACTTCGATTTTTCTAATGTACCTACATGTTTTTAGCATCAAATCATGTCAACTTTTAACTACCCAATTGGTGGTCTAGGTGAAGTCTTTGGTGCAATGGGCTTGTATAGTCGAAAATCTTGAAACGCCAGCCGTTTGTATGGTGTTCATACGATTTCCAGGCAATGCCTTGGGTGAACCCATTTTGTTCCCTGTTTATGTGTCGCGGATGATGTAGTTGGGTCCCCTGAATCCACAAAGGTAAGTCTCTCCAGGCTGCAATGTCTCTTGACATAAAATCAGCCGATGTCACAGAGGTGGCCATGTAAAAATCCTCGTAAATAAAATTAAGTCCGTGCCGGGTTTCTGGTTTTAGACCAGGTTTTGTTGTAAACCAAACAACGTCATTTAGCACACCTGTGTCCTCACAGAAACAATGACTTCTGTAAATGAAACAAATTTTTAGGTTATTTGGCGGGCGCTCAGTACAAATTAACATTAAGTTCTCCGATTGTTCAATGAACTTATGCCGCCTTCGGGAAAAGAAATATATTACTTAGGCAGGCGTCTTTACTTGGGAAATGTGCTGTGTTTTCATTTGGCCTCATTTCCGACCTTGAAAGCGCTGTGATATGCATCACGATAAAAGATTTAACTGCGTGACGGCGTCATTTGCAACAATTTGTTCTGGTGAAATCGATAAAAGCGCGTTGGTCGAGGTTGTTAAAGACGGGCTATTTATTGAACTGCTTGATGTTTGGGGGCTTTTAGCCGAATTGAAGATACACAAATTATAAACACAAGGGTAAATTTATATAAGCGAAATGGGCGTTTAAATTTGGGATTGAATTAAGTGTTGGTAAATAAAAGATGATTTCTGAGAAAAGATAGTAGAGTCAGGCTGCGTCGTTTGCAACAAAAATCTACTACTGAATAAATATGTTTTAAAAGGTATTTATTGCTGGACCTATTATTAATTTGAATCTCGATTGCATTGTCATATTACTAATTGCTCAGCAGTCATTAAATTAGCTTCATTTCCATAACTTTAAAATGGATAACATAAATTACAACACGAAAAAATTGACGTGACGTATGAAATTTTCTACCACAATTCTGCAATTTTAAAAATTCAGAACACGATAAAGTTAACAATTTTATCGCATTTTGTATTAAACAATCAAAGTTAAGTGCATCAATTAAGCATTTAGAATGCTGCATCATTATTTGAAGCCTCAAGAAATAGCAAGAAATTACTAACGAAAACACCCAGATTGTCTCTAATTATCTATTGTTCTGATGTCGTTGTGATAAAAAATTACTACATGTAATGTACCTGGTACGTGGTCACGTCAAGCAGTCAGAATAGAAATGTCAATAAGGACAATTAAAAAATATACTATAGATTAGTTATTAAAAATGTTAAATTAAAGTCAGTGCAGTCCAAAATTTTTTTAGGAAATGTTGCTTTATTCTATAAACTTAGGTGACTTTATGCAATTATTCTAATGTAATTTGACCAAGAAGAAGCATTTAACATGATAAAGTTTTCGAGAAAATATGGTTCTGAATTCTATTGTTAATGTGAAAGTTATGTGTTTATTTTACCTTTAAAAATAATTAAACTATTTTTTCAAACTTTGCTAAAAATGTACGCAAAGCTTGTTGTTTTCTTTTTCTAATTAATTCCCTGTATTTGAATTAGCTAAAACGGATGGGAAATTTTGGACCTCTAAGTGTCGTCAACTGACCTAAGTGCGTATACTTGTGGCTCCGGCTAAAGCAATATAGTAACGTTAATTACATCTGCATAGTTGTCCTTCAGCATCAAAACTTTTCGATTTTTACAACGAATTCTTTAGAAGATTTTGTGCAACGTAGTTGTGTTGCGAACTAAGTAACCTTTAATGTTTTTTCTCGCTTTATTTTCCATCTATAGAATCTTCGCCTTCGGTATTACATAGCAGCGTCCTAGTTGTGGTAAACATGAATCCAAGATTCCTTTTTTAATTGGTACACGCCTAAATTTGTGTGTTCCTTACTGACGGTGCTTATTTAATGTGCGAATTGGTTTCCCGTTTAATTAACTTGGAATTTTGACTAAATTGTGTAATGCTGTAACGTTTTGTTTCATAGGTTGTTCATTCTCATGTTACACGGTGAGGTGATATTTCTGGCTAATGAATCTTTGTATTTTTTTAGTTCCTTTTTGTTCGGAACATTACCCCCACTGTTATTAGATTGAGTGATTTCAGGAATTGCCGCATCTTTTGTCTTTTTTATTTTTACCGTTTTGCCCATAAGTCTTTATCGGCTGTAGCACCTAAATGTCTATTTCGTATATCCCTTCTCGTTAGTTATCTCTTTTTCACGAAAACACTGGTATTGACTATCACACATTTCTTCATGTTTTTATCTACCTTTTCGATGTTTTACGATTGCTCTCGGACTTTACACTTTAATATGTTCCAGAAACAGTTCCTCTGCCAACCTTGTTTTTGTTTATTTTATTCTTTTTCCGGTCAGATGAGCTGCGAAATCTTCGTATACAAAAGAAACTTCCTGCTTCTTGCATGAGTACCTTTTCTCAACTTCCAGAATGTCGGATGTAGCCGGTGCCATTGAGTTGCGCTTTGCTCGTCGAAACGACATCCGATCCATTCAGCGGCTTTGCTCTGAATGTTTTCCCGTTCACTACCCCGATAGTTGGTACGCCGATTTGGTTTCCACAGCCAAGTACCTAACCATTCTCGCCACCCTTCCAATGCGCACCTCTACGGGTGAAAGAGAATCCAGTGTTGTAGGCATGATCGTCGCCGAGTATCGAACCCTCAGCAGCTGCAAAGTGATTGTGAGTTCCTTTTGCCTTCGTGTTCTGCCACTTATTTAAACTCCCAAACTCAACCAGCCAAGATAAGGCTCAAGTCCTCAAGTCGATGTTCTTCGTGAAATTGGGGTTCTTATCTGATCTACTTACGTTTTTTCTTTCTCACACCACTCTAGTCACACAATTTCTGTAGCATATCAAGGCTGCACACTCGAAATTGAACTGGGACAGTACACGCTCCTTGCACAAGGTCTTGTCTTTGTTCTAATTCTAGGAATTAGGTGATTCACATTAGACAAGTTGCCTGCGAATTTGCACTTCGGGCGTGTGTTTTCGTTGGTGGCTGGTTAAATCACCCACTTAGTTATCCAAGTGTGTGTTTCATCTGTCTTGGCCCCTTCTCTACTGCCTTGTTTCTCTTTTCAGGATCGAACAATCATTCACCCCCGTCTCGCTACAAAGTCCTTTGTTATGTACATCCTCAGTTTGGGTGTGACTTCGCAGTTTCGAAATTGCGGCATCGGTACGTCGGGTAGCCTTTGTCCGAAAATCCACCAATCACAAACTAGAATGAATGCTCCCATTTAAAAATTGCGACAAATTGTGCATGGCGGTGTTGAGTCATGTTTGACAAGTTATTTAATGAATACTAGTAAAAATGTTCTTCACGCCGGGTAGCACTGGCGTTGTTGTTGACCTTGTGTCGCTTTTTAAACCACCACTGGCCTGGCTGTGTTTTTACCTCCTCCTGTAGTCACTGCAAAGTAGGAAAAACGTGATAGGATTCTTCAGTCATCGGTTGTTACAGATGGAATCTTGACAGAGTGAATATCCCACGTAGCTGTTGGTTTGCGTGGATTATACTCGGAAAGTTCATTGGACCGACTTATGTTCTAAGGATTGCGTTTGTAGGCTTTCGTAGACATTCCACAGACGGCTAATTCCTTCATGGAGGTAACACCACACGAGCTGCCAGCATCACGGTCTTAACAAGGCATCTTTAACTAACCAAAGTCGGTAGACCTAGTGATGTGGCACAATTAGTATAATCTTCTTACTGATGTTTGAAGCTGGAGACAGTCCTACAGATACTGAGTGTTCACAACGTTGGTAGATCGAAACTCTGGTGGTTGTCGGTTGTCATAATTGGTCATTGCTCCGACTCGAGATGAGAATTCAAATTGTCTCCCGTTTTAGACAACAACTGTCCCAACTTGACTCTCGGTTTCAGTTAAATTTCAGTAAGCATGATCTTAGTAATTCACAATAATATACGGACATTGTTTTTGCACCAAACCGATCCACCGTATTCTTTGTAAATATGAAAAACTTGCGGTGGCGTTTGCGATCCGACTGGTGATTCGTTCCAAAAACTTACAGATTTATGGCCTTTGGAGTGCCTATCAATTGTATTGATCTGTTTTGTTGAGTTCAAATCTCTTTCATGTGGAACTCGGCCACTTGGCTTCTTAATGGGTCACCTGGTCACTTAACGTGACTTCCAACTCTCGTGGGTGTGATACATTTGCCAACTGTCGCATCAATTGCACAGATATGTGACCACGAACACAATCATGGCTTTGGTGCTGTCTACATCAAGTTCTGCGGGTTTATCAGAACGTTGAGCATTTTTAAAAGACAAATATAGAGATTAGAATTCTTGGAATCGCTTCTTATAGGTGGATTCGTTAATAGAGTTAGAGGAAGAGCCAGGCGTCAGAGAGTGTGGAGAGGTTAAGTGGGCAGAACAAGCATAAATAATTTTTGCAAACCAACCAACCAACTCTTTTTGTTAACCTATCGGCACTCTTGCTCCTTCACCAGCCTCACTTCTCTTATCCGTGGTTCTGAACCACGCGAAACTCCAAAGTCGCGGAGTCGACGTGACCAGCCCTCCATTCAGGTGTCTTCCAGCCCTCGCCCAACCCTTTCCAGACTATCAGCCGTTCTCCGACTCGGAACATCCCGTAAGCTCTGTAAAGATTTATGCCTTTTTGCCGCCTGGCATGTAGTTTTCGACCAGGCCGAAGCCGCTGTGTTTGCGCTACTCAGAAAGCCGTGAAGACAGAATACCAGAGGCGGCAGAGACACGACCATTTGCTAGACACCTCAGCCCAGTTATGCTAGTCGCACCAGTGCCCATAAAAATCGGGAGTGTTTGTGAACCATTAAAATCCGGTGGCTTAACGGGTAGGGTGGGGAAGGTACTCGCACAAGTGCTTATAAGCAGACGGTTTCGCATGACCGGTAGTGACACCGTGAAAAGGTCAATTTGGCAGAGAATGCAACGACCGTG